AAATACGAGCCGCTGCCCGTTCGGGCCCAACTCTCCGCGCTAGGACCCCAACCTCGGCGCAGGCCGACCGGTGGTCGCCGTACGCGTCCAGGAGTCCCCCGCAAGCGCAGCGTCTCGGGGCGAGCGGGAGAGGTAGGCCGACTCTGCGGAACCCCTCGCTCGGCACGCGGGTGTCAGCACTCGTTGGGAAAGCCGTCAACGCGCAGCTCGCCGCATCGTCGCCTTGCGACTGCGGGCGGTGGGGGCGGCATGGGCGGCGCCATCCTCCTCCGACAGTTTCGCCTAGGTTGGCGCAGGGGGGCCTTATGAGCGTAGGAAGCTAGCAGCCTGTTCGTGCTGGCGGGGGTCGTCCAGCAGCGGCCAGAACGCCCGGCTGGTGTTGCCGCTACGCTCGGACGGTGTCCGCCCAAAAGCTCCAGTAGGCAGCGTGGCGTTGCTGATCGGCGGACCCAGGTCCAGCCCCCCCATGCTCAAGTTGGGCTCGCCTGTGGCTAAGCTCCGCGAGCGGTATGTCGCCATCGCCACCCGCCAGCATGGTTGGATAGCGGCATCGTGGGAAGCTGCGAAGTCTGCGGATGTCTGCGGTGTTGGCTGGCCTCAGCGTTCGCAGCAGGTAGGTGCTACGGGGAGCGGCCCGGTACAGGAGGAGTAACCACACGGACTGCAGGCGGGGCACGTCTGATCCGACTCAGCACACGGTCCTGCTCCTCCAAGCGCTGCTCAAGCCGCGTGGCGATGAACTCTCGGCTTTCATTATAGGGCTATACCCAGGACTACTACGCCTTGTTGGGTTGCAGGGATGGCCCAATTCCCTGTCCAGCAACTATGTCCTCCGGCGGGAGCTCCTCGAGCAGTCCCGGGGTTTCCTCCCCTGCACTGTTCCATGCGCATGTTTTGGGCAAGAGGCAAGTGCATCTGGATGTTGCCGTGCCCAAAGAACTGGCCTGCTGTGTGCTTGGGGGACCAACACGTGGTCCAAGGCAAGCTCGCGCTGGGCGCCCTTGGAAACCATCACGGTGCTCCCAAGGCCGCGCCGCTGGCGGCAAACGGAGGCGTCTGCGAAGAGTGGTTTGCATGGAAGTGGACCTGTCCGCGGGTATGGCCGTGAGCCACGTGTGGGCCCGACTGGGGCAACGACTGTGCCTCGTGAGGCAGCTCCAAGGTGGGCAGTAGCGCTCGATCGCGCAAGCTAAGCTGCTGCGCGCTCCAGGCCTTCATGCTGCCAAAATGACAACACTCCCTCGCAAGCGCATTTCCTTGTTCACAGCCTTCCGCCTGGCAAGTGTCACGGCAGGTACCGGAATCATCCCACCAGCAATACACCGATGGTTGCCCGTAAAACAAGCGCACATACGGCAGTAATACAAGGGCGACCTGGCGAAGTTTGCGGTCCTGGGGACTGTATCGTGCGCATGTGCGGCCGTCCAGCGAAACCAGGTTTTCTTTTTTGGCGAACATGCCACCGCGGTCGTCCATCAATGGCGCGGACGCGCCCGTCCGGCTTTCGCGGTGCCGTCATTCTGGCCAGCGGAGACCGTATGCAAGCGGACATTACGAGCAACACGTGGGCGCTGTTCAATAATATTGTTCCCGAGAAAAATGCGGAGGTAGTTGCGTGACGCCTCTTGTGGAAAACAGAAAGGTACTCCAACAGAATTCCATAATTTTGATATTTGGAAATTTCGGAAAGGCTTCCAACCCGTAAAGGAGTAGCAAATAAGCATCATTTCACGAAGCACGCTCTATTGCAAACATTCCGTTTCCAAACAGTGAGCTCCTTCGTCCGCGCATTCGCAGCTCTAGCCTCCTTGGTTGCTTGCTCAGCGTTGGCCGTGCTGCCACAACGATGCAGCTGATGAAACATGATGAAACTGCAAAATCCGTCTATCGGGAGCTGCCACCAACGGTAGCCAGCGTTGTTTTCGAAGCACCACAAGCTCACGAGCGGATCATCCCTGCCATGGGCCCAAAAGTAAGCGTCACGGCCAACATTTCGCAGGGGTTGGCGCTCAGTTGACGTCTAAAATGGCTCAGTAGATTGCGTAGCGTAGATAAGAAGGATGGGCTAGGCATCACAAATACCAAGTTTCCACGATCGTCTGCAATCCGAAGCGGCCACCGCCTGGAAGCCAGCTACAGCCACAATGAGCACTTGACGACTTCCTCGTCGGACAGTTACACATCTGAGGCCACAGTGAGCACGTGATGACTTCTCGTCAGCCAGCTACAGCCATAGTCAACACTTGACGACTTCCTCGTCCAGTTGCAGTCCCAGTGAGCACTTGACGACTTCCTTGTCGTACGGACAGAAACACATGATGCATCATGATGCTTATGCGAATGAATAGAACACTGTTACTTGCGAGGCAAGAAGCTTCTTCAAGCAATGCGTGACTGGAGTGCCATCTTAGCCCGCAGAAAGCAAAGATACAGACCCATACCAGCAAATTGGTTGTCTTGCATAAAGTTCGCGACAAGGTATTTTGACCACTGCCCACGTGCGCCGGTTTCTGGGCAGACCCTCGCAGCAGCCCGTTCAACAGGGAGGGCCCGGGAGGCGAGCACTCCGAAGTTGCGCAGGCGGCCCTGTTATCACCGAGTATAGGCCAAGGCGACCACGGCAGGCGCACGTACGCGGGGCGACCGGCAGTAGCAAGCGGAGCCGGCACAGCATCAGGACGTGGAACAATGGCGAAGTCATCGTCAGTTCAGCGGTGGTGGGAACAACATCGGAAAAACGGCGAAGGCCCGTGCAGCGTGCGGCCCAGCCTGTGAGAGCAGCAGTGCCCGAGATGCGGCATCAAAGTGCGGAGGATGCTGCCCGCGTCGCGGCTGCCCCTGCTGTAGCGAAGCCCATGGGGAAGCATTGTCGCGAGGGCTGCAAGGAGCGTAGCAGTGGCGGCGTGGGGGCGTGAGGCGCCGCTGGCCATGCACGACCAATGACCGACAGTTGCAGCATTGCGGAAAGCGGAACGGGCGCGCAACTGGCGGAGGCGAACGAGGTCGCGAACGAGAGCCAAGGCTCCTGTGCCCCAGTGGGCGTTCCCAACCCACCGCGCCTGCGCCTTCTGCTTGATGCTGACTGTCCTTCGGTTGCGGGTGATCTATAACAGGACCATACGCACATGGCCACAACCGGACCTCGATGCTGACGTGCGCTGTGCACAAGATGCACAAGCGTCGGGCACGATTGACGGGAACAACCGTGGCGCAACGCAGGCTGTTGCCGTTCGCGGGTGGAGCAGCTACGTGGGAGATGCATGGATGTGCTGGACACTTTTCGGCAGGCGGAAATAGTTGCAGCAACTTGAAGCTCCTGCAAGGTGCCTTAGTTCTTTGTATTCGGTGTAATTACAGAATCAAAGACAAAAGGCTGAAAAGGTACCGCTCGGGAATTTGGGTCATTAATATGTCATTATTCAATTTCATGCTATTTTTCAACGAGTTCCTGCCCGTCGATTTGGTCCGGCGGTTCGCACACACGTCACGATCGCGCACGTGAAGGTGCGAAGAGCCGCGAGCGTACCGTCTGCCATGCTGGAGGCTGAGGACTCTTCGTCGAGTGGCAGTGGAGGCCCCAGCCGGCATAGTGGCGGGATGCGGTGCGCATTGAGAGCTGTGAAAGCACAGCTCGCGGCGTCACACGTTTGCTGTCACTCGAAGCGTCGATGCGTGTTGCACCACTCAACTGTAACATCAACAATCGATGCGATACTGCGTTTGTCGTGAGCATGGAGACGCGCCCCGTTCGGCTACCATCCAGCCACACAGGGCGCACGGCGAAAGAATTTGTTGCCGCAGCATCGAGCCGGAAATGTTTGAGGCAGTTATGCCGGTCATGGCTTTCTGACACACAAATGGCTCACACATGATCGTGCTCCGTCCCATCGTTCGTCGATTTGCTTTTTTTTGACAGTGTTTGGCCAACTGTGACCCCCCAAGCAACTTGCGAGCATTCCTCGCAGCCATAGTAAGGTTCGCAGAGTTCTGAATATCCACCACATGGCCTACATGTAGCGTCGAGAGCGAATGGCGCGGCTTTTTACTCTGAGCTGAATGTGCCCAATTGATCCGTCTCCTGCCGCACTCCTGCCGCGCCAGCTGCTAAAACCGTTCTTGCAAACTTCCGCTTCTCCGCCATCAACGAGCGCGTCAAGCGCTGGTCCGGGTTCCAGCGGTCGCAGCTCAACGGGCACACGCCGGCCAGCAAGCTTTTTAAGGGCACTGAGCCTGTCCTCCGCACACCTCCGCGAGGTCGCTGCCGACCCTTGGCAGAAAAAATCGTTGCCAGCCGTCTCCCACTACGGTAGTGTTGGATGGATGCCCACACGTCAGGTGCATGCTGGTGGGTGTTGCGTCGCTTTCTACCGGTAATTGACGTGAGGTCTGACTCATCACGGACGCTGAAAAAGCGTGTGTAACGACGCTGCTGCCATTCAATTTTCTCGAACACACGAGACGAAACACGCGATCGAGCGAGGCAGCAGGCTCGGGGTTCGCGGAGACGACAGATGAAAATCGAACCCATGGCGCGGTGGTTCATGCGTTCGCCGCATTGAAGACTCCGAGGTGCATATTCACATTTAGCGAAGATCTAGCAAAGGCATAACAAGCCAAAGCACAACAATTGAAACTACAACGAGTGGCTAGATGCAGTCCGCCACGGAAGAGGCCCTGAAGATCCGAGCAGGCTTTCATACAACCTACTTCTCACTCAGAGAGAGAGAGAGAGAGAGGGAGGGGCAGGCAGGCAGGCGCCGCGTGGGTACGCAGTGTGTCCTTGTGTCACGAGAGCACACTATAAGCTACTGGTAATACGGCTGTTACTATCGTCACCTAAACTGATGCGCTCCTAGAGCTCGTGCTTTGGGTTATAAGATGCAAGCTTAAGAGTTCAGGCCTCAAGATGGACATGGTTCAGAATCGTATAGGGTTTGTCAGTCTATCATTTATGACTTCGTGAAGGGTTCCCAGGACCGAAAAGGAAGCTGCACAACGGCCTCCCCTCCGGCGATATTGAAGAGGCGTTTTCCTTGGACGGAGCGAAGCCCCTCAGGATCATTGAAGTACCTGCACAAGAAATCAACTCGAGCAATCCATGTCATGAACAATTACCATGAGAGTTTAACCTGTGCTGGAATTGCTCAAGCCCAGCTGCCTCCCAAATCCCTGCTGCGCCAACCTCTGCAGTTGCACTCACCACAGAGCAGCTGTCACTCACCCTCTTCAAAGCTGCTGGCCCGTTGACTGGCCCATGAGGCGCATCAACTTGTCGCCGTCGAAGAGGTAAGGCCTGAAAGCTTGATGCGCTGCTTCTACTCCGATTGGTTCTATCTATTCTGTCTTTGGCCTGAAGCAGTCAAGCTTTATTTAAGCCGGCAGAGGCCCCAAACAGAATGTGCTGGCTAGACATGTAACATGTGCAACTTCTGCATAGCAGGCTTTAACAGTACGTCTTACGGACTCCAATTCTCCGGTCCGAGCAGAGCAGAAGATTCCAAGGTGCGCGCGGTGTTTCGATCGCAGAATTTGGCACCTCAGAATCTACAGTCTACAGTTCGCTTGACTCACAGGGACAACTTGGAGGAGTGGTGCAACATCCATTCTTGCCCTTCCGGAAAGTGGGCGCCTTTCGAACCCTCCAGTCGGCAACAATACTGGGCGAGGAGTTTCGCAGCTAGTCTCGATGCCGAGCCATCTCGAGGACTACAGAACGACGATAAGGCGACGGGAGTTTGGAAGTGCCATGCACAGGGCAGAAAGAGATGCGGCTCTCAGCTGGGTGCCAGGCTGACAGCACCGGGCCACTCAGGCTTGCCCTGGGCGCACGGAGGAGCACCGAATGGCACCAGTGAGAATAGTGCTGCTACCTGTAGAGTCAAGTCAAGTAGTACGTGATCTGGGAACGAGCAAGTGCTTGGCTAATGTCAACCTCATATTAAGAGACCCGACCGTAATTGCAACATCCAATTCCCAGAACGTCAACAGAAAGCCCCCGCGTACATGCAGAATCCAAGCAGCTGGAGCGGAAAAATGAAAGCTCAAGTGAGATGAAAGAAGACGACACCGCTGGCCCAAGCAAACCCCGATTCGAACGGCCCAAAGTACTGGCGGCAGGCTCTAAATTCGTCCTGTAGGTCTCGGAGGGCTCTAACTGCAGAGGCTGGGGCTGACATGCTTGGGAGGGGGGGGGGGGTTGAAGTGAGCGGCATGGACGAAACATCCAGATTCGCAGAGTCTCACTAGCTCCAGAATGCCAACCGGGCCTCGGCAGGCAAGTCCATGGTGGCACCGACAGGACCGCGAGACTTCACCTACTTCACGATGCAAGCTCGATGGTGAGGTTTAAGAGACTCGTCTTGAGCCCAGTCTTGTATGATAATCATCCATCACCCTCTCGCAGCTATAAGCCATGATGGCTGCATAAGCAGCGAAAATGAAACAGAACAGACGTGAAGCCGCTCTGCCTGTTACTGGATCTGAACACTCATCACTCGGCAAAGCATGTCCCTCATCTCAGGTCCGCGGCTTAAACCGACGTGAGCGTCGAAGTGTGAAACGCAAGCACTGGTCCAGGAATGGCCAGGCTAGCTCACGAGTTGCACACAGTGGTGCAGCAGGAACACGGAGACGGATGTCCTCGTCGACGTGGTGAGACGGCGAACGTGGGCAGGGTTGTACACGATGACAAACATCTCGTCATATCTCGTCAGCTCTCAGGCGAGTTGCTGGGGCTCAAGAGTCCGCGCCTGGCATGCAGCAGTGCAGGTGTGGGCGGAAATCTGAATCGAAAGAACTCTTCTGAGAGGCAGCTGCAATGTCGAAAATCAGGCCGGCAGAGCCACAGGCGGGGATTGGAGCTCTCTCGCAGCCGGTGCACTTCATGCCTAGCAGGTGCTGGGTGGCCCCGAAGAGATGCAGATCTTGCCCAATGCAACCGAGAAGCTCGTAAGTCTCGCGTTGACCACCTGCGCTGTGCAACGCTTCGCCGCTCTGCCAGCACGTTCATGAGCACACGACCGACGTAGCCCAGCATCTTCACACATCCCGCCGACCCTACTTGGAGAGGGCACCGACTGGAGGCGTGTCAGTGCTGCAGTGTGCTTGTCAACACGGGCAGGCTCCCAATCCAGACGTTCTGGAAAGGCGTGGCACGCCCTTCAACGATGATCTCAGCTTGTACGGCTCCCTTCGGTCGGAAATTCCGCACCGAGTTTGTAGTCCCTCGTGGGTGACCTTACACACCCCAGCATCGCCGGGACTGATGCCGACCAGGGCCATCGCAACTCTTCTGCATCTGTTCCAGACTTTGGCGACATGTGTCTCGGAGGGATTGCAAGAAAGTTGAGGGGACTCTCTTGGAAACTGAAGGTCCCTGGGCCTTCCAGGTCAACAGGAAGTCGCGGCTCTTGCAGCTGCTCCTGCAAAGAACAACAGGCTCTGCGGCTCTGCCCATGAGAAAAAACTATACCAGGTACGCCATGCCAGGTACGATGCCTCAAATGAAACCTCCTGCAGTTAGCCTCTCTGCTGCACACCACGGGATGCTTGCCCTGCTCAAACTCAAAACCACAAAACACAGTAACTCGAAAAACACTGGCAAGCATGCATCACTCCCTTGCCCGCATCCCTCCGACCCCTATCACGTTCCTGAGAACGAACCACTCGTCGAAAAGCGACTGCAGGGATGCGTCGCTCTAGCATGTCTTGGTACCTGCGAGCTGTCACACGCATGTACAATGTGCCAGGACGCAGTTGGCTGGAATGCCTCTTCTTCGAGGACCAAAGCAAGATCATCAGCACGCACAGCATGATCATCGAAAGGCCTCGCAGGTGAATGCTTCTGTCTCCTTGATTTGGGGCAGAGTAGAGTCACGGTGTCTAGCCTGATACATGACAGCTCAGCCAGAAACTCTCCGTGCGAAATCATCTGCAAGTGCCTGCATCTCGCGCTCCACATTGAGGCTTCGGCCGATAATGATGGCTTTGTCAGTCAGGGAGTACGCCTGCTCCATTGATCCATGCAATGCAACCATTTGGAATGGGGTTTCTCGCTCGCAGTGCGATTTACTTCAAAGGCCAGCGCTCTCCCGAGTTCTTCAATGCCTGCTTCACAGCGTCGCCGTCTGTGTCGTCTGTCTCTTCAGACATGCGCAGTGATTCTGCGGAAGCGGCTGTCCAAACCTGCCGTGGTATATCGGCATGTCATTGTATGTGCACAGCAACTATGGAGTCGATGCAGAGATGGCTCTGGGACATGTGCCCAGAAGGCAGTCGTAGGCAGGGATCCCAAACCTCTGCAAACTCAGGCTTTGCTGCTTGGCTCTAAGACCGAATAGGCGCCGTACATCCCAAGGCAAATCCAGCTGTACTCAGCGAGGTCAGCGAACACGCGTAGTTGAGTGCCTCGTGCGGTTTCGTGGGGAGCCAGGGAGCCTGCAGACTGCCCGGTTGCCTCCAGTGGTAGGAACGGACTCATTCTGGCCACGAGTACGAACTTCCAGCCTGGCTCTGCTGAAATCCCGAGGCTATATTTAGCTGGATCCTTGCCTTCCTGCTCGACTATCTCGTCTAGCACCTGCGCATGACATGAACACGTACATGGATGGCAAAAGGCACCTTCTGGCTCGCGCTGCAGACACACTCCAGGAGCCTCTACCCACTCCAGGTGTCGGAGCCTCGGAACAACGATAGCTCAGCCTGAGGCTGGAGCTCGCAGCACAATGCGCAGCTTCTGGTCTCGGCCGTCGCTTCTCCACAGTTTCTCTCTCCGCGCGAGGTGGGAGCGGACGATCTGTTTCAATGCGCTCCTCTGACTCTCTCGTCCCACAGTCCACAGTATCGAGTCTCTTCGGGAGCATGGACACATCCAGGAGGACCGGCGCAATGCACTCTGAATCATCATCTGTCAGCACAGCAAAACGTGACAGGCCTTCTGATCAGACACGACCGGAAGAGGAAACGACCTCACACAAATTGGTTGTGCAAATGCACCACGCATTCATCGAGCAAATGCCCAAATCACAATCAATGCGGCATTGCGCTACTGGTGGTTACTGGCGCCATAGACAAACCGCCCTGGCTAAACAATTTCTCATGTCATGCAGGCGGTGACTGAAGTTGCGGCCGATGCCAAACGAAATGAGTCCACCAACCGAGACGCCGCTGAAGACTGCGACAGTACCTTCATGTCACGAGAGAAGCAAGTCGCACAGTTGCTCTTGCATCTTGCTCCTCTCAAGGGTATGTGTAGGCCGGCAAGCCTGCAATGCATCCTTGCAACACCTTTCCTTTGAAGATGTGGGCAAAAACGACCTTTGAAGCACACTGCAAGCACTTGTAAGAAGGCCGTGATTGCAGAACGTAGAACGAAGAGCATGAGGTATGGCTGGGCTTGCTGCTCCAGCTCCAATCCACAATCCGAAAGAGGGCAGGCAGAAAATGTTAGCCTGCCATAATGGCAATACCGTTGCCAACCGTGCACCACGACGTCAGGCGATGAGGGATGGGACAGGGTGAGATTCAGGCGCTGTGGTTGCAGATTCCCTATGCACTCGCAGTGCTGCTCCTGCTGCTACTACTACCACATCGACATCTACATTACATCTACATCTACTACTACTACGACTACTACGACGACGACTACGCCGGACTTCTTCCTCTTCTTCTGCTTCAACCTGTTCCACTGCTTCTCGCCATTGATGGTATCTGTCTGACACAGTCATTGATCACAAATGTAATACGCAAGACTGCCCAGCACGCATGAAACGCGGCGGTCAAACGATCGCTGTGGCGGCGAAGAGCAACACGCCGGCCTCGACCTGAGACTCTGAGACCCTCCAAGCGACAAAGCAAGCATAGTGAAACCCTTTGCTTGGAAGCTTTATCATTCATCCTTGAGCTTCGGGCAGGCTCCATGTCGAACAAGCGGTGGCAGAGGTCTTTGGTAGCCCCTCCCAGCTTCTGCCTGGAAAGCTATGTAGCATCATGGCCAGAGCCGCTTGGCGTGTCGATTGTCGTTGTCCCACTGGCAGGGTGCCTGTGGGTCCATGCAGCCACGATGAGAAGAAGCACCAGCCTCCGACAGACGCGCGTAAGTCCAGTGGACACCACTGCTCAAAGTTCCAAAGAGCCGAGCCGCAATGCAAGAAGGGCGGTGCTGATGACCTGCGCCACTTCGCAGAGTCCGCGGCGTGCCTCATGGCTGCTCGCCGGCAACGGTGCAAGCTAGACGCGTCTTGCCCGAACCTCCCTGGCCGACAGCACCGCAGGAGCCGATAGAGCCCGAGTCTGCAAGAAAGGCTCTCGTCCTGCACAGGTTGTGAGTTTGCGGAATGCTTCGGCTACCCGGTAGCCCCCCTCCTGCCTGGCAGGTGCTGCCTTTCCTCCGTCATCTTCTCGAGACATCAGGGCAGGCTGCTTGCGAGAGAGCGTGAAGGATTCTATGTCCGAACTACGGGGCCTCGGCCCCCAAAGCTGGGACTGGGAAGGCTGTGAGATCGTGCTGCTGCTCTAGTAGGAGGCTTCGAAGCCGTGAGTTGTTCATACAACCACTTGATGATGCCGAGCAGGGCACACATGCCGGCAGTTACGTCATCAGCAAGAAGCACCAACTCAGAGACAGTGGCTAGAGGCAGGTGATCTTTCCGCTAGAGACTGCTGCCTGTGCTTGGTGAGACAGAAAAATTGAGCCGCAGGATCTACTTCGGCTCCTTGGGCTCTGCCTCTGCAGGGCCCTCCCGGGCGGCCTCGGATCCCTCCAAAGAGGGGCCTGCAGCAGATGCGGCTGTCTCGGAGTCAGACGGCCGGTCCCAAAAGTCATCGGCATCTGACCATGCATCTTCCTCGTCGGAGCCGATGGCAAAGATGGAATCGCCCAGGTTGGCATCCAGTGCATCCGAATCACTTTTCTGGGGAGCCGGGAGACCTGTACCGACTGCCTCCTTCAAGGATTGTCCCTTTTGACGGACGCCCTGTGCAATGCTCACCACGCCGGAAGACACTTCCCGGCCTTTTCGCGCCAGGCTTCCCTTCAACTTGCCACCGAGAGATCTCACACGATTCACGGCCTCGTGGGAATTCGGATTCGGTGGGCTGGAGAGCTCCGCATAGTTGGCCCTGGTTGAGGGCAATATCCAGAAGGCCTCTTCCTTCGACTCCTCCTGCAACCGATTTCTGAGCCCCTCTCGCAGGTCTCCGGCTTTGCGGAACACTGCCGTCTTCACTTTGCCCAGACCCCGCGGGCTTCGTCCCTCCTTGGAGTCCGAAGCCTCACCAGTGTCCTGTGCATCTGCGTCACCTTCGTCTCTCTCCGCGATCGCCTCTGTGCCACCGAAGACCTGCACAAGCCGCCGCACAGACCACGCTGCCACGCAAAACTTTCCGACCCCATGTCAATGTCTGAACCTACTACTGCTCCTGACCCAAAAAGCCTGTGTGCATGGACGGTGCACGTTCGACAAGCGCAATGCGAGATATGCGAGATCGATTTGAGCCGCGCTAACGTGCAGGGCCTGCTTGCCGACTTGTCGGAGGTCATGGACGCTGTGCCGAACCTCGCTCATGACCTCCTGCTTCAGCTCCTTGACATCTCTCCACATGTCTTTGGAGACGTCTGCTGTCATCGCAAGATTTTGCCGCACTGCCTGAAGGCCAGTTGCAGGACTCTCCCCTGTACCATCCGCTTCTTGGGTCTCTGGAGGATATCCCGTACGTTCCTCTTTTTCCTGACCAAAGCTCCGCCAGCGAGCTCCGATGGCACTCCGCCAGTTCTTGGTTTGAGCTTGCAGATCCTGTTTGGTGAGCTGCATGCCCTCGCGGACACCGCCCGCAATGTCGCGAACGTCATCCGTCACCAGCTTTGCCTCTTCGACGATGGCCTCGCACCGAAACCCCCCCGAATCCCCTCCCTCCGAAATGAGATGTTGCAGAACACTGCAGAGCGAGCCTGCCGGGCCTTGCTCAAGAAGGGACTGGCCTTCATCCTCAGGCTCGAAGCCTCAGAGGACAGAGGCTCCCGCTGGCCCTAGCTTGTCCCTCGCGAACTCGCGGGCACAGGGCCGGCTGTCTGCTTGGCCCAGGACGGAGCCGAGGAAGGCGCCAAACCTGCTGGAGCTCGCGGCCTCCGCCTGTGTCTGCCCGACGCAGCCCTGCCCCCCCCCCCCCCCAATCCTCCGACGCTTTGCGCAAGTTGGGCCTCCACCTCCACCTCGGCTGGCTCCAGCCTTGGCAGGGACCCTCTAGACCGCGCGAGACGCAAGCCATCGCAAGCCCAAGCCTGTTGTACCTGCTATAGGGCGGCTAGGGCTGCTAGGCCCTAAGGCACAGGCTCAGGATGGCCATCTCCGCTCTCCCTGGCGAGACCCGACTGACGGCCCCTTAAAGCCTTAACGTCTCAAAGCATAAAGCCGGAGACACTCGACGGTCTCTGCAGAGACCTGGCAGGCCAGCAGGCAAGGTTGCCCCGTCTGTCCCAGCCCCGTAGCCACCTCCAGGAGCTGCGCATCCGCCTGAGCGGCCTCAGAAAGCTTGCATTTCACCTTCGCCCGGCCCCAGTCCCGTATCACCCAGACCTCTGCGAGTACGATTTTTTGAAAGCTGAGTGGCAGAGGCGTCGGCGCCCTCACGTGCCATGGGCCGCGGTGGAGCCTGTCCTGATCCTCTTGGAATGGCTTGGGTGGCTTGCTGTGAGGCTGAGAGAGGGAGCGGGACGCCCGCATCCTCAAATCATCACATCCGAGAATAAGAATGAATAAGAGCAAGTATTCGGCAGTGTTCGGATTCGGAATTCCATAAGAGTGTGTCGGTTTGAGCTGGCAGACAGATCTCGTCGCTCTGGTCGCACTCTCTCTAATGCAGTATGTACGCACATGCGCTCGCTGAAGTTGCCATTTTCGACGGGGCAAATGTCGCCCATGCAAGTGGTTCGATCAGCTCAGCGTTGAGCCATAGCCTCGGCTTGAAAGAGTGATCCACATATGGTATAAGGCGTGCCGGTGTGAGTTCAGAGCCTGAGTATTGTCGTCGCCTCAGGGTGCAGCACCGTGCGAACCCCAGGACCCAGGGAATCACTGCGCAGCTCAACGTCTACAAGGCATAAGACAGCTGCGACTCGATTGCAGCACCCTCTGATTGAAGCAGCATGACCTGCAAGCTGCAAGCCCAATGAGCTGCTTGGGTCACCGTGATGTAACGCTTCGCTACTGCATATGCAGCTTTGTTACCTCCCTCTGCTTTCGCACCCGATGTCGGCGAATGGAGAAAGCCTCACCCGAGCTTGATCTTGCAACGCGGTTCGCCCGTGCGTAACCGTGTAGGATTTATAGATTTCGAACACGATCCCCAAACCCCGCCCAGCATTTTGCGGAATCGAATGGGCAGGCTGCACTCAAATAGTACCCCTTCATAACAAGCAATCCTAAGAGGAATCTCGAGTCACAACGCCACGAACTCAGCGCAGGACACTGTAGACGAAAGCCAGGGCGACAAAGAAAATCGTCGCGGACAGTACCTGAGGCTGTTCCTCTAAAAAGCTGCAATAGGCAAAGCTCATGTCTTCAGCGAGGGCGTACAAACGCCCAGTGCGGCACATTTCTGGCCACCTTTGCAGATTGGATTAATTGTCGCAGCGACAACTTGGAATTGTGGAGCCTTGAAGCTGCGTGCTGTATCGACCGGGCTGGTGCCGATCCGCACCTCAAAACGCCAAAGACACACGGACAATCCCCAATGAGTGAGACACACGGACAATCCCCAATGAGTGTCCCGTTAAGAAGCCGTGCAAAGAAAGCACGGATGCGACGTTCAAAAGGCCGAAGAGTGTACGTAGTTCTAAGTCAATCAAAAACACCTATTGCCGGGTGGGACTCGCACGCAGCCGCGAGCCTTAAACGCAGGGCAGCGATGCACGGGGTGGGTGATCCGAACAGACTTACCCACATGCTGAAGCATGCATCACGCTTCGCAGGCGCTTCTCCTCCCACTACTGTCCCACTACAAGGTCCGGGGTGTCTGCTCACCCTCCTTTCACAAGCCCGGGCCTCCTGGCGCCGGTGAGTGGCTTGCTTTAGGGGAGGCATGACTCAGGCTCTGGCTAAGTCGTAGATCCACCAGATGCCAAGGCCGCCCAGGGATAGAAGCTGATCAGGGATGGCAGTCAACGAAAGCTGATCATGTCACCAGACGTCACGACCTTGAGAAGACCGTAGGGGAAGAAGAAACCCAGATACAGCTGGTCCAGGCCTCGTGGCACACTCAGATACACTTAGCATGTCGGTGTCCATGCTCATATGTGAGAAGGGTGCCTAGGACACCCCCGAAGAGGGAGAGCAGAAACCTGGCAAAGAGCGCGAGATGCTCTAATCATTGACTAGCACGAGCACCACAGGCCGGCACGACGCCACTCGCTGTGACTTTCTGGGCGTCTCGCAGTTCGGATCAGCCCAGCCCTGTTGGGAATTCGTCCGGGGGGGAGCGTGCTTTTTGTCCTTTGGGTGCGATCGATTGATTCTTTCTGCTTGGCAGGGAGATGTGTTGACACACCTAGCTCCCACCCATCAAAAGTGCGGCGTCTCTCAGACATGCTGGTCTTTCATGATCGCGTCTGGTGTTTCTGGCAATCTTATAGGAACACGGTGGTGCGTTTGCGTGCCTGATTCAGTGAACATGTCTTGGTTAGCAAGCAAGGACTTCAACGGGCCTTGTACGAGCGATAGAAGCATTCCAACCCCGCTTGAGATGAGATTACACTGAAAACCTGCTTCGGCAATTTCGGCCTGTTGCTTGCCTGAGCTTGCTCAGCAATTAGTCTGCCTTGTGCAAACCGGGCTTACTCGCCTCCATCCTTTACTCTTGCTTCAGGGATGCATCTCAAGTCTTACACTGAGTTCTTCGGCGCGAATGCCGTTTTCATCCCATAATCATAATTCAGGCTGCCGAAAAAATCATGGTTGAAAGGACTAATGTCGGATCCAGGCCAGGCTAAGATCGACTAGTACGGGGGAACCAGGGCCCCGGCTTCTGCGCAATAACAGAACCTGGGGGCATCGGCACCCGCCTTCCAGAAGGAGCAGGAATTGCAGGAGCTGCCCGCTACTGTGCCTACGTCTTACATTTGCAGGCACCCCTGACACCCCTTTAACCTCAGCCCTTCACGAACCGTTCTCAAGAAACCCGGATTCCCGCAACGTTTCCCCACCCTGTGGGATGTCGGTGTCAATTTCACCGCTTGCAAACCGCACTTGCCTCCAGCTTCTTCAACTTAGCTGAACTCAAACCCCGAACCAGCCCTCAAAACTAAACCCACGAATCCTGACCCAAGCACTTGAACCAGTATGCTTGGCCAATAAAAAGTCGGAGAGCAAGAAGATTGCACTTGCGTTGCACAAGGCCGCCTCGGCACAATCCACACGAAGGCGGCCCGCAAACAAACAGCGCATGGAACGGTCTAGACTCAAACCCCACTCAAAACCAGCTCGAAACCCAAGTGCCAAAGAACATATGTAATTCGGTGGCCCCACGCAAACTTTCAAAGCGTGCACAGGCAAGCTTCCAAACGGAGAATGTTTCGCCCATTCGTGCCGATGGCATAGCATGGCAGTGCTGAAAGATACCGATGTCACCCCGTACCATCGTACGTGTGTTTGCGTGTGAACTAGTGCGCAGGTGTTGGCACGCGTCGCGCAAGGCAAGGTTATCTCTGGCCGATGCCTTCGGCAGATCGTCTCGCGTCGGATCTTGCGTCCACGCTTTGCCTCGAAAACCAAGCTTGAAGGATGAGCATGCCGCACAGCGGACGCTAAGACCGGCACACTCACCGTGGCCGCTGCACTGGAGATATCTGGGAATGTCCTTAGGCCAACGATCTTTTCAAAAGCACCGTGCGAGGCCTAGAACTTACCAGTGTCAGGCATCGGCCAGTGCACACGGATTCAGCTGCGTCGTTTCGAGTCCAGGCGTTTCAAACTGACCGAGGGTGCTCCAAGCAGAACTAGACATGCCGAAAAACATGGGCCTTGTAGTTCTCCAAGTAGCTGGTCATATTCTGCCAGTAACCTGTCTCGTGCCTTCGTCGTCGGGTAGATTTACCAAGAAGGCAGATCTGGCAAAGCTACGGATCCGGCGTAGGGATCATGGTTGAGCATCCCTGCAATGAAACCTCACAGCACGGTAAGCAGCGTGCGGGTGAGAGGACAAAGGAGCATCACAGCGATTGACGCCCAAATGCAGCCCAAGATCACTTGTGGCCAGACCCGTAAGAATGAGTGTCCTCAACCAGACCGCGGCCTGAACCTCTTCAAGTTTCTGAGACAACAGCAGTCTCCTTCTCGGGATTCTGCCACTCACATCCATAGAGATGGAACCTGCGAGGTACCGAAAGCAATTCCTGCAAATTAGCCTTGATGATTTCAGCCGTATTGAACTTGTTGAACCTTCAGAAACATCACGCGTGAGGTCGCATCCTGACGAAGCCCTTTAGGGCCAAGGCGTTGGTCTCAACGCTGACCTGGAAAGTATCGTTACCGGAACCCTGGAAGTCTTGAGGGCTGCGGATCAGTCATTGCTTCGGAGCACCGAAAGCCGAAAGCTCCACTCAACAGAAAGCAGGACACTCTGTAGCTGTTGGCCTCTGAGAAACTTCTGCTTTTCCGTGCACTGATCCGAAGGTAATTCACTCGGAATGGTGAGACGGAATAGCTGCGAGCTATGATCCGCAGATGGGCGGCCTAGCGAACTCGGAGGAGGATCTGCATGCCCGCCTCCGCAGACAGTTGGTCGAGCCCTAGCTGAACGGCACTTGGCGGTTGAAGGGGCCTCTGTTCCCAGGACCTCTGATACCTCCCCTGGTTGCATGGACAGGGCCACGGTCGCAAGCTCCTGCAGATGTGACACTCCAGCATCAGCGCAGCGGCACAACCCTAAGCCGACCCCGGTCCTCATCGAGCGAATCATCAAGACGGAAACAGGATTCTTCGGGCCTGGCATGTGTGGCACTCGAGCAGATTAGCAGAGACCGTGGTTGGACAAAAGGGCTCTGCTGTGTCTGGGCCCAAGACGACTCAGAGAAACGCTCTTGAACCTCCGAGGCCCGCGCTCATGAGTTGCCTAGGCCCTAAACCTGAAGCTATTGCAAGCTTTCCTTTTTTACCAGGAGCACCTGCTCAAAGAGACCTAAGTCCTCCCGCACCGCGTCGAGGATGTCCCGAGCCATTCGCAGAGGCACCTACGAGAGCCCCGTGTCGCCAGCATTTTTAGCTGCAGCTCAGCCTCCGCTTTGGCCCCGAGGATGATCCGTCGAAACACCGGACTCCCATCGTCCTCCCAGCGACAACTGCAGCACTGCGCTTCATGCGAAACTCGAAACCCAGCAAACTGGAAGGTTCAGGGGTTGCACATGGGCCGACTTGGGTAGCTGCTGCGATTGCACAGTAGGACCCGACAAGCTCTTGATTTCCCTACTGAACCCTCGACAGTCTTGCAACACATCCATGATTCTACCAATGATATCCAATGATTGTGTCTAATGGGTTTTTTGACTCGTCTGAACACACTGCTGCACCGCAAGACGTGTTAGTTCATTCTTCGGCCTGTGACCCGCAGTCTCTCAGTTGTGCAGTGGCAGTGGCTGTCCTCCTCTGCATTGCGCTCCTCCGAGCAAGCTTCGTGTTCTGGAGGCTCAGTCGCTTCGAGATGGGCATCGGTCGGTGAACCTGGTGCGGGGGCCGCTGGGGGCGAGGCATCGCGAGGCATTCTCTGCCACGCCCGGACTGTTTAAGGGGGAGGCCGTCGTCTATGTGGAGCTCGTCGAGGACTTCTTGGGGTGGCTCCACCTCTACCCGGCCCTCCTCTTCGTTCAAGTAAACCTGGCTGGGGGTTTGCATGGGGACTGGGGACGCTAGCAGCTGGCACTGCCAGCGGGACCAGCGGGATGTCCGGGTTTTCCGGGAGCTTTCTCACGGACCAGAGACCCACGCGGAGCACCTCCAAACAAAACTCGTACATGCCGCGCTATGGCAGGGCTGGCGCCGCGGCATGGCTATGTGGCTATGGCTCACGGGCTCACGGGCTCCCACGTCTCTCTCGGCTCGGGGCCTCCTCGGCCCTGCGAGCCAGCTCGAGCACGGCGGAGGACGCTTGGAGCATCGGCCGGCTCCTTATAGGGGAGCCATCCAGCGCCAAAAGAAAGGGAGCCGCCTTGCTTTTTGAAGGCCCCCCTGTTCCAAACATCTCAGCCCTTCGCGGCTCCGTTGAGGCCATGTCCTGTCGGCTCAGACTTCTCTCGACGAAAAAGCTCACGTCGACCTTCCGAGTCCTCGGTCCGAGCCGCCAGTGTTTCCCCTGGCACAGCAAGCAAGTCTGCACAGACGCTCCTGCGATGCAAACTCACCTGTAACGTGCATGCACTGTAAGGATCAGAAGTGCGCAGTAAATTGAAGATGAGGCCTCTCTTCACTGGATGTAGCGGGACGAGCTTGCCTGTTGCCACCAGCAGGTGTCTCAGAGTGCTCGAACACCTTCTCTCGACCCTTCAGCAGACCCTTGCGCATGCACGGCAGGGCCGAAGTCGAGCTGGAATGCCTTCGCGGAGAGCAACATCCCTCGGGCCCCATCTCTACAAAGCGCTATTCCGACATGCGCTGCCGCCTCTGTGGGACCTGTGCAGACCCCCGACCCTTCAAGGCAGATCGCACGAATCGCCGCACCCTGGAGGTCCTCCTCTCAGAACCGCGGGCCCGACCCTCAGAAAATCCAAGAAGAGCGCCCAGGTCCCCCTTACGGGGCTTTGGCTGGACCTTCACCCAGAACCTGTACTGTAGATTCCGAAAATCTGCAAATCGAAAGTGTGGCCAGAATCCTGCTTCAGCGGATAAGCTGCTCCAGCATCACGTGCACATGCTAGGGACATTGACATCGGATAAGATAACTAAGCTACTGGTGAGTTGCTTGTAGGTCAGCTACAAAGGACCTGGAAGATTGTGTTCTGCGCAGATCACCTCTGAAAGGAACCTCGCCTCGTCATACTCCGGTATGGACTGGGATTCAAGTGACATGACGGTGAAGGGACACCTCCTGCACACGTTGCAAGGCGACACCACAAATTCGCAAAGGATGCTCGGATAAGCTGTGAAAGCCCTTCAATGTTGTCCCACATGTCGCCTGGCGGCAGAGGCGGTGTCTTGGATGGGAGCGGTGGCAAGCCTGAAGGCCGAGCCTGCGGTGAGCTGCCAGACTCAGACGCCATCCCACTCGCTTGCAGATCTTAGCACTTTATTAAGACCTGCCAAAACTGTTCCGGACCCATCATTCCATGAAGGCCGATGCCCCACGAACCGAAGGTGGGCTTAGGGCAGTTTGCGTTGTGTTCAGTCATCCCTACACTTGAGATCGCCTTCTCCCGGCAAGCTCTGGATTTCGGAACTAAGTCTTCTGCGATTCCTCTGTGGTTTGGTGGTTCGGGTCTGCCATGTTCTGTGATTCGCTTACCACCTATGATTTCATCCTGTGATGTGACTGTGATTCGGGAACCCGTCTCCGCAGCATCACAGGCAAATCACAAGGCCCAGCAAATCCAGGCCGGAGCCCGGCTGCCGTCAGCTGTGTTTCTGGCTGTGAAGCTGCGTTTTGGCTGTGATTCTGCTGCGGAGAGGGGACAGCCAAATCACAGCATGAAATCACAGATGGTAAGCAAATCACCAGAAAAATCACAGACCCGAGCCACAGCCAAATCACAGATGAATCACAGAAATATTATATCCGTGAGTGCTAAAGGTTGCCGGAGCTGGCAATTTCAACCCTACACATACCGGCATGCTTCGCAAGTGACCTGTCCCGGCGCGTAGCCGGCGCAGCCCCTGTCTCCTTTTCCGCCATGACCTGCGCTTCCACGCTTGCCTGGCACATTCCGCAGCACAGGCTGTATACATCATTGCTCAACATTATCCGCTGCCAGCTAGGTCCGTGGCTGGTCCGCATGAGTCAGCATGCCATCGCATGCTCTGTCACGACCGAAGGCTTCCAATGCCGATGCTGCCAGTTCTCATTTACATATCTGCGAATGAATTTCCGAGGGGCTTCTGAATCGAAAGCTCGATCCGTGGACATGCGTAGACTTGCTGCATGCCTGGTGCCACACATTCGTCTTGGACTGAATGCTACGACTGCATCGCCGCGAAAGTCCAATCCGTGCACCGAGTAGAGATGTACAACACAACAGTGCACCGGCGCTGGGAGATCATTCATTTTTCTCCATGCCGAGCTGCCTAACTGCTGCGAGCCCAGCCTACTAGATAAAGGCCATTGAGCTGGGCTTCACGAAGAAGCGTCTCTCAGGTCAAAAGCTTGTTCCTGAAGGGGCAGGAAGAAGCACCAATTGCGGTCATGAAGTGCACAACGCAAGGCACCCGCAGGGTCAGGAGCAAAGTCGAGGCAACTCCGTCTCGTGAGTAGTCAAGAAGGTGGGACATCTGGCCAGGTGTTTAAAGACCCCGGATGAACCGTTTCGAAACTTTGTCACGTCTTCGCCTCTCCCAGTCTATGACGCTTCTGCCGGATTCGTCGATCACCCTCTGGGCCTTTGCGATCAGCTCTCAGTCAAGGCATCTCTCTGGTCTCCATGTGCCCTCGCCTTTAAACTGCTCGAGGATGCGGGGCCTAAGTTCGTTCCATCACAGATGGCTTCGCAATGCGGGCTGCAGCAACTAGGACAGCACACTCTGAGGTAGGAACAGGTGTGGAAGCGCGTCTTCGCGCATAAAGAAGGCGATTTTCGACCAGTCAAACAACTGCACTCAAAGAAACAAGCAACAAAGACGATTTCTGAACGAAGCGATCCGGCCTGGTGGAAAGGGGGCTGCAAGCGATTCGAAATAATCAGCGGGACGCAGCCGTGCATGATGACCTCCCGGGCTAGACGTGGAGGAAGAATGCCCAAAACAAGGATCGCAAAAGCGCCCACCTCGATGAGACGGCCCGTATTAGGCGAGTCACCATCGGGACAAATGCACAACCTGAAGACTCGGACATCGCGGGATGCACCCACGTAGCGATGATGCTAAATTAGGGCAATGGCTTGGATCTGAATGCAAGCTCCGACCAGTCCTGCAAGACGTATGCATCCGATCATATCCGACCCTCAGTCACGGCTCGACACTTGCGGACCTGCTGGCGTAGTCTGAAAGCGGGCGGAAAAATGAGGACTCTGTCCTCCGAATGCAAACGGGGTCACCGGCCACCGGGTCTTCTTGCAATCGGTGGAGCTTGTGCCTTCAACACACCGGTCTTGGCGCTGCGCTCGCGCCGAACGTTCTGCCAGGCAGGCTTCTTGAAATGTTTTTGGCACAGCACACTTCATTGCTATGGCGACCGCTGTAGTAGTTTGAGACGGTTGTAAGATATGAACATAAAGTCGGCAATCACCATAATTTGATCTGCTTGCAAGAGTATAATAAGCGGAGCTGCTTCAACACGTAGTTTGAGGCGGTTGCAAGCACGTACACAAAAGATCGTTCAGCACACATATATTGTACATACATGCATGCATTTATTCACAGATGCATACATACGTACATACAATGCATGCATGCACATGCTGTGTGTGTATGTAGATGCATGTATGTCCACACACATACATACATACATACATACATACATACATATATATATATATATATATATATATAATTATATAATTATATATATATATATGGTCACTCCCCCCATGACAGAGAAAACACCGCCCCCACCGGCGAGTTCGTGCTTTTCCAGAGGTATTTTCGTCTGTCCGGAACCACACCCGGACCAAAACCAAAACACCAAAGCTTCACTGAGAATGCCGGAACACTGTTGATTTGCTCATGTTTTTTTTTGTGGTTTGTGTTTCATTTTGTTTTTTGGTTTCGCCGTGTAAAAAAAAAACCGAAACAACAAAAACGACTGTTCCGGCATTCTCCGTGAAACTTTGTTTTTTTGGTTTGGGTGCATCCTTGTGTCAGTCGCGGCGTCTGCTCCTGCCCATAAACTGTTTGGAAAGTCCTCCAAAATTCTCCAAAGCAGCCCCTCCGCTTCGGCTCGAGAATGGAGGGTTGCTTTTTGGGTGGTTGGACGGTCCGGAAAGTCCTCCAAAGCAACCCGTTTCGGCTCGAGAATGGGGGGGGTTGCTTTGGGGGGGTGGGAAGCAATCTCACGGCCCAACCCAAGCACCCCACCCGCCCCATCAGCGTGAGCAACCTGTGCCCCAAAACCCGCGCTAACAACCCAGATAGGCAATCATACAAAACACAAAACCCACACGAAGCGATCAAACATCTATGGTTCTATGATGCTTTTCCACGGTGCAAAACTGCCTCGACGCTTTCCGGTCTTACGATGGCAGTATGGGGAGTTTTTTACATTTCGAATTTCAATCAAGTACTGCAGCCTGTTGCCCGCAGCCTTCCAGTCGTTTTGGCCTTTCGTCCACTACGTAAACTGAGCTGCTCCAATCTTTCGTCGAAGAATCACATTGCCAGGCTTGCGTTGGGTGTCTTTACATGTGCCGGCAAGTGACCCCAAAACCTGGCCCCTGACTTAACTTTCAATGTTTTTTTGTTCGGCATCTTCAACTTGCACACCTTGGTGAAGCTGGGCTTCACCCGAACGGCCTGCAGGGTAAATCAACAAATAATATAACAAAAACCTTAGTTAGGCACCCACCTTTTTGTTGATAGTGATTCGTTTTTTCTTGTGAACGACATTGCTGTGCATGACACCGGGGATGCGAAGTTGGTAAGCGCGAGCACCATGTGACCATGTGTGTGCAAAACTACTTGCCGATCACGAAAATCTTGTTGCCGATGTCACCCCAAGCACGTTCGCGAATTGGTCCGGGTCCGGGTGTGCGAGGTGCTGTTAAAGCCGGCTCCAGGCGGAACAACCGCAATGACGACGGTCGCCCCCGCTCCACCATCCCACACCATCGCTCCCAACGGGGTGTGCTGCGATGCACAACTGTTGAGCTGTGTGCTGGGAGTCACGTCGCATGCAATTGGGCTCACAGCATCCTACCAATTGGGCGCACGGCAGCTTGCAGAAAACAACTGGCTCGCAAACAAAAGTCGATTCAGTCTGCGAGGTGGGACATACTGTGGTGACCTAATGCACCTGAGTGTCTTGCAAACGTCTTCTAGCAGCTTCTAGCATGATGAGCTTTGCCACTTGCAGGCAGCTAGCACTGGATGAGTTTCCCTGGTCGTTTTTGCCACGCTGCTCCAACATCTCAAGAGCTTGCTCTTGGCAAGTTTCTGGGGTCGTTCTTGGTCGGCTCAGTAAGACAAGCCGAGCAGTGGGGTAGTGGCAAAAAGGAGAGGAGAATATGGTCCTGGTTAGGCAGCAGTGGCCGATAGGGGTTGGGGCTGGGGTTGTCTGCCAAAGGCCTGGCTTCTCCGATCTTCTCCGCTAACTTCAAGTCGCCGCGCAGTGCCCCATGCCAAGACCGGGCTGCTGCTAGCGAACTGAAAGTAAGTCACCACAATATGGCTACATGGTGTATAGAGGTTTCCGCATATTGATGGCTGAACTTCCGCAGCAACCAAGGCAGCGATGCAGCGTGTCCCAGCTTGGAGCCCCTGCACCGTGTTGCACGAGCCACTACGAACTCGACGACGAGGCACTTTTGGTAACTTGGGCGTCCTTGTTGCCAAGAAAACAAGAACATTGAAGGTCGCAATTGCTGACGGACGACTGAACTACTTTGCTGGCTTGAAGCTCCTTTTGTAGTAAATGCCAAGGGATGGCGAGAATGACACTCGATTCCGGTTGAAATCCGCGGCGTCCACAACGGCCCCTGCTCATCATCAGGATCTCAGCAATGTCATTAGCAAGACTGGTGCCAAAGAACATAGACAGCAGGATGCACATCTCAATGTGTTTTCTTCTTGCGGATGATACATGAGGAACAGATGTGATGTAAAGTAGCGCCAGCCACCTGGTACGAAAACGAGGTCTCAGGCTGCAACCTGGACGTTGCGCCTCTTCCTCAGCCTGAACCGTGTAGGCCTCAGCACAGTCGGCAAGTTTGACATTCCGTCACTCCACTACGGACGCGGGAAACCTGATCGAGCAAACTGATTTAGGCCAGGCACTGGGCCCTCGCACACCGAACGAGACCCTGCCTAGAAGACGAAAAGTCATGGAATTGATCAATGAATAGGGCTCTGCGCAAGCTGAAACAGTTGCAAGGCAGTCAAGAGGCTGTTCTTGTGACCGCGACCCCCGGACGAAACGAGTCCAGGACAGGTGTGAAGCAATCGCAGAGCGCTCTGCATCAACGCTTCCCATCCTTCACAACCAAATTAATTGACCAAGTTGGCAGGCTAAGGTAGTAGTAAAGTAGTATATAAGGAGCCTCTTCAACCTTGCTGGTCAAGCCCAGAGGCACGTCAATGCAAAAACTGGTTGTTGCCCCGACACTTACAATAATGGTGGAGTACGGCAGCTTAGCGCTGTCCTACTGGTAATACCCCAAGCATCTTCAGGCGATCTTACCAAAAATGCTCGAGGGCTGCTGCCAAAGCCAACCATGCAACGTCGTGTGATCGAGTGTACAGCAACTTGGATGCCACAAGAGCCCAATATGTGGAGCATAAGGGGAAGTCTGTTATGTACGGCAGTGCATCGGGTCCCTCCTTGCGCCACGCTGAGGCTTACGCCGGGCCAGTGGTGACGGCGCCGCCGCCGCCGACGACGACTCCCAACCAAGGCATGGCCCCACGACCAGGCCCGCGGACTTTGGTTCTACAGCAAGTCCATTTCGTGCAAGTAAACCATGCAGTTTTGGGCGCATCGTTTACGCTGTTTTGCACTGCCGCTGGGCTGCAGTCTCGCTTTTGTGTGGGTACTGCTTTGTGGTCTGTGTTCAAAATCAGGTGGGCGGAGTTGACTGAAACCCCTGCGAGCGCAGCATAGAAGATGCAAACTTCGACATGGAGGGGTGTCACCGATGAGCCTGCGCCTCGACACTTGACTTTTTACATCCGCGAGACGAGCATTGATGCATCCATTTTTTGCGGGTTTTCACAAACTTCAACTTGCCCAGCCTCAAATATGATTACGCATGAACGCATGTGCATGTACATTCACATATTCCAGAGTCTATATAACATACACAGAAGTCTGCCGCACGCCCAAGCAAGGATATAGACTAATTAGACAACGATTATTTATATTATCAAGAATACGTGCCAAATTTCGGAAATCTTCTTCATCGGTATTTCTATAAAGGCAAACTTCGTGTTAAATAATCCGGAATTAAACATGTATATAAAGAAATTAGAAATTTCACATCTCGCACCTCATAGTAACCTTTACGTTCACAGGGTTTTTGATAAAGAAAATACAAATGTGTGATACACATACATGTAACTGTACTCGGTAGTTATATACAGTAATACAACATGTACACACAGAACCTCTGCTCCCAGGACCTGGCTGGTCCTCTTACGAAGCCTTGGAGATCAACCTGCTTGTTCAAGTGTACATTGCGATCTTCTGCCTCTTCGAAGTCCATCTCCGACTCAAACTGCTCGCCGAAGACCTGCACACGCTGCCGGTGCCTCCGCAACCTCCAAGAGCATCATAAGCTCAAAACCCTGACCGTCGAGAAGCAAGTGACTCCCGTCTCAACCAATGGCTTCTCCCTAGGCCCATAAGTGACGGCAGCATGGAAGCAGGCCTCGTGGAGGACCCCCCGAGAACAAGAATTTCGCGTACCTGCGCAGTGCAGCTCAGCGAATCAAACGAAACTCCCAAGTCTAGGCATCACAAACTGAGCAGTCCAAGCTTAACCACTTGCGGCGCACCACTGTAAAAGGCCAAAATGTCTCGATTGCGGTACATCGCAGCCTGTGACACTCGCTGCCCTGCCAAGCTCCCTTCATTCAAGGTGAGTCTTGCAGCTCTGAGATTCTCGCCCGGTGGGTCCACTCAAACGCAATGACCCACGGAAGAACGATGTCCTTTCTTGCGGAGCCAAGCCAAACGGAGGAAACACTTCTTGAACTGCCTCTGCGGTCCTGTCCTGAGGCAGAATCGCAGGAGGCTCCATCTGGCAGTGCAGTGCGCAGGAAGCTCCTCAGCGCCAGTCGGGAAAAACTACTCAGTGCACCGTCGTACGTCGTCTCAAGGTTCTGGCGTAACTGGAAACCATGAGTTAACTGCCCCCCATTCGATCACATAACGGTGAGGAGGCATTACAGACGCATCTTCGAGCAAGTGGCTCTGCGATGCCCTCATTATGGACTAAACCCGTGTCGGACCAACACCAATCCGGCTGAATCCGACAGAAATCCAAAGATCAGCTCAGGTCAAAGCGACAGGCGTTGCCATCGGAAGGCAGCCACGGAGTCGCGTCCCCTGCAGGCAACTATGCGATATCAACAAACAAAGTCTCCACCTCCAAACCACACCTGGAATTTTGAGGAAGTAACTGTCGGGTTGCTCTCGGAGCCACGGTGACATCCTCCAAGACCCAGGACAACAACAACCATCGTCACTGGCGTAGTGCTGGCTTTGAACTTTGGCTGTCCCGCCGTGGGTGATGAAAACTATCTTGTCTCCAAAGTGGGCGGCAAAGCTTCGCCACACCTCAACAACTGCGTGCTGGACGGCGCTTCAGCCAGGACACATCTCGTCCGGCAGCATCGCTCTGTTCTGCTGCTGAACTTGCTTGGCCGCCGACGTGACGTGCGTAAATGCTCGCAATGAGGAACTTGCAACTAGCCCGTTTCCTGAGCAGCTTGCGAACATGGTCGCAGCCATGATTTCTGCCTTCTTTGAGCCGGCTCATCCGCCATGCAGCAGACTGAGGACGTTGCCAGCAGTGCCAAAATTCTGGCTTTTGCTGCCAAATCTTCTCCACCTTTCCATGCGAGTATGCACTGGCAGCTTCAGCTAGGCCTTCTCGTCGCCTTGTGCATGAAGTATGAAGTGTCCAGCCCTAGTCGCAGGCGACAGCACCAGCAGGAATCGGCAAGGAGCTCTCGGTGATCCCATTGAGGCTGCGGCTCAGAACTGTCGAGGCGGGGAGGTTGCCTTCATAACCTGAGAGTTAAAGTTGCTGTGGTCTCTTACTGCGTCTGCGAGATGCAAATCCCGGGCACGCTGAAATCAAGCAGCTCCAACACACTAAGGCACACACCGAGATAAGTTTCAACCACTTGCCTGTGTCAGAGTGGACGTCCACTGGATAAGTGAGTGTTAGTTACCTGCGACATGGTGCCCTGCTGTGGATACCAGCCGTGTTTTTTGCCCAAGTGTGCAGTGTTCTGGCCATCGCCCCGTCCGCCAAGGCCATGGTTTCCTGTTGACAACTAACTCGTTTGCATTGTGCCTCAGCCAGGGGCGCTGTGTCAGGCTCTTAAGGGGACCGCTGAAGATCTACGATTAGCTGACCGCCTGCGACGACTAGACCTCTGCAGCTAGGTCGTACCGAAGTCACACAGTTGGAGACTAAGTCTCATGCATTCACTCGAGCGGTTTGCTGGGCAGTCGCAAGGACTCAAGCATAGCAGAATCCGGGCCAGAAGGCAACCGAAGCGCAGTGTCTGCTGCTTGAAAACTGACACACAAGCCCACAATGTCAGACGACGGTTTCGAGCGTGAAGCAGCAACCTCAACCTGTTAACGAGCCTAGGAGCAGTCTGAGTTATGCCAGCTGTGCGTCAAGTTATCCACATACAGATCAAAGGGCAGAGCGAAGACTCTGACTCCTTCAAAACGGGGTTAAGGCATTCATCACGGAGACACAAACACGCAGAATCATCCACCCTCACGCTCTGATCAGCTCGTTGCGATAAAGCACAACTATGCTGTGGGCAACCTGACACTTCTTCGCGAGGCTGCTCGCCTCGACGAGTTCGGCGCATTTCCAACAGCCTTCCAGCACCACCCAAAATATCCCAGGAAAGGCTCAAAAGAAGCAAAATACTTTGCTCACCAGTCCTTCTCTTTGCTACTTTCGTGATCGAGGCCGCAAGGCCTGTCGGCGCTGGCGTCGCAAATCATCTTGCACGACCATATGCATGAAGACCTCAAGACTCTCATAGCGAGGCTTTAATGATCTAGTGGCTGCCAAACTGACGCTGGCATACCAGATGCATTGCCTCTTTGTGCCAAGGGACGCCTGTGGCACAGTGGGGAAGAAAGACAAAGTCGGCGTCCTTTCAGCAATCTCTTGGACCGTGATCGAAAGAACAGAGAGCTTGTGAACCTGTACATCCGTAACCATCATAGCAGCGTTCGACCTGTACCAGGAGACAGCAGCGCTTGTGATAGCGCAAAGACTTTCTCAGTCTTCGGCGAGATGACTTGATGGACCCAATGCTCCATGGAGTACCGAAAGCCTGGCTGCGCATGCGACTCAGGCTCAAGGGCAAGCACAATCCCCGTCCGCCTTTGAGGGCACTACTCTGCCGGAAACATCGAATGCATGCAAAACCATTTCAGCTTTCAGCGCAGCTTTCGCCCTTGCAGCAGCACGTTTTACCTCTACCGGGACGCGAACCTACGGGCCTCACTGCATAAGGTTAACAAACTGTTGGTTAGGGTTTAGGGGTTAGGGTTTAGGGTTTAGGGTTTAGAGTTTAGGGTTTAGGGTTTAGGGTTTAGGGTTTAGGAACGTCTTGTGTCTCGATTTTGTGACACGACCGCGATTCGCAAATCAAGGGACCTGCGATCTTCATGACAGAAGTTGTATGCGTTCTCGCTGTGTATGTGGAGCTAACGCCGATGTGATGCAGGGACAGGGTGTGGGGCTGACTCGACATTGATATGACTAAGGCACGATTGGACTCGATGCAGCATCCATACGAGTTTCGATGTCGATGCGATTTCGACTTGACCAGCTGTTGCAGTAGCAAAGCCCGATGACACGATGGTGATATGCCGCAGAGCCCGCAATGCCCGCAACATGTCGTAGCCGAATCCGAATCCCGACAAAACCGTGCGCAAATCAAACCAATACCAGAACGAAACACCGCAAAACCGCAACCCAAAACCTGTATTTGGGCTGCCAGGAGCAGTCCCAAGTTTGTGAAATATGCCCGCGCGGGTCCCTCTTACAGGCACAGTCCTTTCTGCCTTCGGCTGTTTCGTGAATCCCTTCTCGGTTCGCCGTTCGTTCAGTTGATGGGGAATCGGAATGCGGCCTTCGTAAAGTCAGCCAGGTCCACCTACAGACTCCTCCATGTACTTGCATGCAAGCTCCTGGGACGACAATTTGAGAGCTCCCGCGGCAGCTTCAACTGCTTCCTACTAAGAAGAACCACGGGCAACAGATCCTCACTCAGTCCCAAACAAAGTCTCCCAGGACGTAGACTCGCGGCATGGCGGTCCTCCAAACCGATGGTTGACCAGTACATCTTCTCTGTGCAAAGTCTATGCCCCGCGCCTATCATCCGTCCAACTTTTCAGCACGCCAAGCATCTCGTCTGTGAAGATGGTCACCCTTGCACACAGAATCCGTTGGTTGTCATGGGGACCCTGAAGAGTTGAAACTCTCAACCAAGCCGACTCCGCTGGAGGTCAAAATTCAGCCATCCCCTCTCGCGATTGCGCGATATCTCCTGCGTACACGTGCACATGGTGGACCTCATCAGAACTGTACCTCCTGCAGGGGCCGAGGGGTCCTTGAAGTACTGCACAGCGGCATCGTCCGCCGCCTGACGAACAAGAGAAAAAGCCTCAAAGTCCTGGAGACGGAAGAAGACAACAAGACATGCAAAGAAGTACATACGAAGCCGAGGCGAAGAGCCTCCGTCGGGGTCTGTGACACTTCTTCGAAGTCCGTTTCTCCCGTTCTGAGCCGTCAGGATTCACGGAAGGTTAAGGTCCGGTGTACAGGTGCTCGGATCCTAGCCTCTGGCGCCAGTCCAAGCAGCGCAATAGATCCTAGATCATGGCATCTTATTCAGATCTCAGAGCGATCTCCATCAAACGCTCACTCCAGGCTCCCGCCTCTGTCGAGTTGGTGGGTGCCGGGCACCTCCTGACAGAGCGGCGTCAATGCGCAGAAGAAACAGTTTTACAGGAGCAGCAGATCTTGGAAGCTTCGCTCCTGATTTCCGTCTTGGAGGCGGCAGCAACTCCGCAGAAGACCTGGGAAGCCAGAATACTTCCTCGCAAGGCAGAGACCAGGATCGAGTAGGATGGCATCAGCCGCAGGCCAAGGTCCAAGTGCGACTCCTTTCACAGTACGGGGCCCTACCGTCGATCTCGCGGCGGTTTTGCTGGAAGACTTTATGTTTGTCGCCATAGAGTTGAAGAGAGTCCTGCCTGAGTACGCCGAGGCCGTCATGGCTCATCAGCTCGGTGTGTTCCGAGGGCACCGGCCATGAGAGCCACGATGTGAAGTCAGGGGACAACGTGCAGAATAAACATTTGGGGTATCCTTATTATGATTTTATATAGTATAGCAAAATGATGTACCCCCAAACCCTATTCTAATTAGTAAGGCCCCTAGTGATCGGAGTCCTTGGAAGTGTCACCGAGCCAAACCCGAAAGCTTGCACAGACAGCCATGCTCCAGGAGGCAGATGTCACGTCGTGGATTCAACGATGGGCCGTGGCAAAGACACGCTGAAGCCAATGGCCCTTGGAGGCAATAGGAATCGCGGACGTGGCATCGAGATGTAGAGGAAGAAACTAGGTCCTAGGTAGCACAACGTAGACGTAGCACAACGACCTCGCAAAGCCGCAAAGGATGCAAAGGCTTCTTTGGTTTCCGCTGTATGGGTCTCTTACCTCGCGCTGCCGGCCTCCCCAGGGCCCTGGGACGGCTGGATCGCACAGAGAGGACGAAGGAAAAGAGCCCGTCCCGTTTGGGTGGGTGCTAAATGCTCACTAAAATACTCAGTCAGGGGGTCGCACCCGAGTGCGAGCGGTGCCAGGCATGCGAGATCTCTTTCTCAAAGTTCCTGAGCACCGGGCTTCGGTTTGCATATGAAAAACATGTGAAGCACAAAAGCAGCGGGTCCTCCTCCAAGATGTCCTCTCTCGGAGGGCCATCGATGATGTTACTGACGTCGACGACTTTGCCCTTGTCGCTCGCTGGAGCTACTACCTCCAGCTTTGACGCCTGTTTGTTCGGCGCCCCCGGCTTCAAAGCAACCTTTTCTGCTGCCAACATTGGGGCCAAGCGCCCGTTCATCACTTGAATTTCAGTTGACTGAATGCTTTCGCTCCCATGGGAAGTAAACTTCAGCGCCAAGACATTGAAGAGCCGTGCGTAAGCTGCTCTGACCCCTTCGAAGTCGGTGTTGTAGGTGGCTAGCTGGGTGGCTGAGAAAATCTGCCCGGCAGCAAGTTTCTCCCAGAAGACCGGATCAGGGTAAATGAAATTTTCGTCTGCCTTGATAGGAACCAAGTTCCCCCGCACTTCCACAGGGCAGGTCGCCAAAGCACCGGCGAAAAGTGCATCTTGAAGCAAACCCTGTGTGAGAATCACCAGGATCACCTGTGAGGTTTGAGAGGTAGGGAAACACGGGAAAAGGTATTCCACGTCGAGCTGGAAGGCTTGGCGTCAGGCCTTCGCATTCGCATACTTCTCGGCCAGCGCATCCAGGTTCGAAACCTCTATCTCCGGATCGAGGACAGCCACGGACTCCTGCAGCTTGGACTGGAGCATGGACTGGATCACCTGACACGCCGCACGTATGCGCAAGTAGAGGAGACGTGGCGACACATCCCAGCGCCTTGCAGCAGCTCCCCGACTCGGGCGTTGTCAAGTCTCCAAGCATCACCATCCCCGACGAAGCGTCCTGTCCAGCATGTCCAGGTAGCGAGCATCAGTGTCTGAGACGCAAGCCCCTGCGTTTTTGCGTGCCAGCCTCCGCCTGAGGGTTCGCACCGCTCCGCGCCATCTTGCCGAACATTCGCTTGCTCAGGCCTGCGGATCATGTTAGGCGGCAGGTGAACTCTGTCAATTGCCAAAATCCAAGCCTTTGCATTGAGAGACCGCAAGCTGCACCGCATGCTCGTGCTCGCCGGTCTTGGCACCCTTACGATTAAGCTCGATCGGCGTTCGCACTTTGAGGCCCTCGTAAGAATCGACCTGGGATGCTGCATGCTCAGGCGTCGGGAGTAGGTCACCTATGCTGCGCATGCCAAGTACATGCGAGAGTCGATCATTTTCATCGTGACCCCAGCATTTGCCAACGTAGCCTGGAATCAAGCAGTAAAGTCTGAACAGCACAATTTCGCAAGTGCCCCGAGATCTGTCGGCACGCAGATAACCTGAGTAGTTGATGCCTCGTTGTTGCAAACCGTGCGGTGTTACAGCTTTACATTACTTCGCGAACATCAGAGTCCACGACAATAAGGTTTGACAACAAGATTATGGAAGATTTTCAGCAGGAAGTGAGCTCCAATATGCTCCAATTGCAGCAGTACAGGTCACAGTGACGGGGTCGCTTGCACATGCTGCGAGGAACAGGCAGCTGATGGCAGCTGACACGTGCGAAACTGCCGAAATGGAGGGAAGATGAAAACTCAAAGTCGCTGTCAGAGTCATTAGTCATCATCAGTCGAGACCCTGCAGCCATGCCTGCTGCTCTTCTGTCCAGAGAGATGGGAGGGACTGGATCAGTTCGTCAGAAAAGCCATTTCCGTCGCAACTCACCAAAACCTCGGCAAGTGACGGGATGAGCACCCCTTGGCAGGCGTCTTTCCTTCCTGATCCCAGGTATGATAGCGTAGACGAGCGGCAATATTCGTGTTTGCAGCCCACGCACTGGCGATTTCTGCAGCGCACCACATTCTCTTCAACGTCTCCTTCGGCGTTCTTGGGTCTCTTGCAGTCATGTTTCTGTTTGCTGCCGCTAGGCTTTAGCTTTGGGATGCAAACCCCTGTGATCCTAGCCATCCAACCACATTAATTTCTGTTCGACTGCCACTCATACGAACCCGATGTCTGACGCTTTGCTGATGGCTGCTCAGCAGTATTGAGGTCCAGCAGCTTCGATTGGCCAAGTCTGAACCTCAATCCCGCGCCTGAGTCATAAGCACCACGACATTCTGCGAGTCCCATGCCGTCACGTCGATGATGGCATCTAGCTTGTTGACGTCGTCGGAATCCAAGAACACCTTGCGACACATGCTTTAGTAGGGGAAGGGCAGTGTGCTGTGCATGCTCTCTGCATCTATCGGTCTGCCTTGTCTTTGATGTGCTCAGAAAGCATCATCTTCCACCAGCGGGACAAAACAGCGGCGCCGAGCTTGTGATGGCTCAGGAAGATGCCATATGTCCTTCACACACACTGAGGCTCACGGACAGGAGCACTGAGAAACGAATCAAAACGTACACTTTGCCATGATGCAGCCATATGTCCGTGAGGGACGGTAGGCCCTGTAGGTCGCCATGCCAAACAAAACCACCAAGCCGATGAAGGCCAAGACTGTGCCAATCATCAAGATGATCTGAATGAACACAGTTCCTCGCTGGACATCAAAATCCAGCAGCATGCTTCCCACCACGATCACAGTGATCAGGAAAAGTGCCAGGCCTCATTCACTGAAATGAAACAGACATGGGCCTTTTCTGACTGCATCCTAGATTCGTCGATATCTCTATATGTGCACGCACATGCACAGGCTGATGCGTGCGAGCTCGTCGTGGTAAGCATGAACACTTCCTTCGAGTGCACACCAAGCAGCATGAGTCCATGTAATTCGACATCGCCGTGCGCCATGGCCAGATGCGGGCCTCATGCCAGGACGGTCATGCAGCGCTGGGCATGTCTGCCTCCTCACCGCCCTGCCTGCAAAATTGTGTACACAGCCACAGTGATCGTAAGAAACATGAACTGCAGCTCCGCAAACTCCACTAAGAGCACCTGAATCAGCACATCCGCTGCTGCTGTCCTCATCCAACACTGGAGTGTCAGGTTGCCTTGTTGCTCCAAGGCACCGGGATGAGGCCGATCAACAGGTTGCGCATATTCAGCACGAAGGCGAAGTAATAAGCCGTTGGGCTGAAGCGGGCAAACATGAAATTCCAGCGCTTCACGAAGTTTACTCCTCCAGGCTTCGCCACCTTTATGGGGTACTGAATAACCTGAGACGGAAGGGGGACCCACAGAGTCCATACAATCAAAGCAAGACCCAGCAGAGGACTCGACAAAGAAGGCACACAGAAGAACTTGACAAGGGGCAGCCCAAATGACAAGGCCCATGAAGGTCACAACACCACCAAAGAAAGGCAGCAAGGAGAGGCCCACCATGGCCTCGGGGACTCGGACTTATCGAAACAAGAACTTTCGCCTTTCACCGAAGGATGGGGAGCGGGCGAAGTGGTCGGCGTTCTCCCAACAAATCACATCACGGAAGGCCGCGAGGGAGGACGTGCCATCGGGGTTCCCGACGCATTGAAAAGGCTTCACGGCCAAAAACGTCAAAGCCTTGGCTGAAGCCAAGTTCAAAGCCACGGATCTGATCGTGCATCTCGCGCAGTCTTGCACTGAGGCAGCAGCAATGAAGACTGCGGAGACGATCAAGCCCTGTGCATTGATAACCTGGTTGAGAGAGATCTCCTTTTTAAGCACATATTTCGCGATAGCAAAGACCAGCATGACGGCACCGGCACCCATTGGGTACATGATCAAGGATCCAATGTAGTTCTGCAGCGGGTCAACATTCCCGAACCAGCAGCCAGGACGAAGGATGCCGATGTCAAAGGTCAAGAAGGACAAGAAGCCCCGAAGCGTTTTCAACGGCTCGACCCACTGTACTTCGACCTTGGAAAATGCGGACAGCGTCTGCACTGTCGCGATGGCCAGCCCAGCACCAATCGTCACTGTCATCAACGAGTCTCTGTGAGGTTTATCGACCTTCGTCGCAAACTTGTAGAGTACCAAAACAAGGACCACGGCAGCAAAGAGTGCCACAAACAGAGGCCAAATAGTGAATGTGCCACCCTCACACGACAGGCAAGTAGAGCCATCGTCGTAATTGTTCGGAAGGCAGGTGAGGCAAGCCTTGCCCCGGTTGTTGCCCGGGCATTCGCCAAGTGGCCTCAGCTCACAGCACAGCAGAGAGCACTACAGAGTTCACTACCACAGGATACGGGCTGTAGAAGTTTTGCCTTCTCAAAGCAGAAAGTGAAGGAGATCGGGACGTCATGAATGGCCGAGTGGCAGGTCCCCAGGACACCGGGTGGCACTGCTGCACTCGACGATGTAAGACGGGTCACCTCCTTCGAAAGGCTGGGCTCCAGCTGAGTAGCCCACAGACTGTAGAGGAGGCTGATGGGGTGGAATGGTTGCATTCAGTCGACGCCCACCGCTGGACATCATGCGGCCTCCCTTGCAGTTTAGGCCGGTGCCACACTCCTTGCACTCCGCCACGTTCGTTGTTGCAGAAGTTCGGTGCCAGAAAGTGCCAGCAGGACAAACACACTCATGACTATACTTGGAACTGGGATACAGCGTTGTGCTGCCCGGAAGGATCAGCTCGCATGCCAAACAGCTTTGAACGGTGCCTATGGGCGTTGCATCTTCGGGGTCCTTGTAGGCACCCACATCACAAATACAAAATGTCTGCCCTACATCGGACTGCGAGCTCCGAGCGGGGCAAGGCTTGCACTCATTAAGGCCTCGTTCGTCGGCGTAGGTCTCTGAATCGCACAAACTGCAGCCTCCCGCGCTGTTACCGGCTCTTGCCGTACCCAACGGGCACTGGTTGCAAACGCCACGATCGGACTCACCGTTCTGATAGCGCCCCGCCGGGCAGGAGCTGCACTCGGTGGACCCGGTAACACCCGGCAACGTCCCGATGCCTTCCGGGCATTGTTGACACTCCGAGAAGTTCAGTCCCTGGCTCATGGAATCACGGAACCTTCCCTCGGGGCACAAGATGCACTGTGTCGGGACATCGAGGGTGGCACTCCCGCCGGCATAAGTGCCAACTGGGCAGCCCAAGCGTGCGTCCCAGCTTGGGCTCGGGAAGCGGAAGGGCGTGGCCGCTGCCTGACGAGGCAACCGAGGTTGCCGCAAGTGACCTACGAACAGCCCCACCGCCCCACCATCCCGAATCCCCGGCGTTCCCGCCTCTGGCGGGAGCACAGGCCTGACGCAGGGAACACTCGCGCTTCCACCCAGGATATACTCAAAAGCTAGAAAGAACCTCTCTTCACCCCGCACGTATGTCGGCTGTACGAAAATCTCGCCCCCGTCTTGGAGCAACACTGGTGTTTGGCGAAATAAGAAATGAGAATGAGACGAGAGCCAGAGAGAGTGGGCTCTCTCAAGTCAACCCGTCCTCCTCACCTAGATGGTGGGGAGACACAAGGATATCAAAGATCCTTCTTCCCCTTTGGCTGGGATCTGCTCCTCTCATGTGCCCCTCTCGCTGTCTCGTCTCTTCCCATTTTCGTATAACAACTTCGGCTCAGCCCTTTTTCGCCTCAGATGGGAGAGACTCTTCTTCTTCTTCTTTCTACATCTCTCTGCTCTTTTGGCTCTTTTCCCATTTTCTCCGCGCCTTGTCCCCCGAAAAGGGTGTGTTTCGCCCCACCAGACTGCCAGGGGGGTTTCTACTCTTACTCCTGCTACAACGTGGTACCGAACATGCTAAATGTAGTGCATCTGCGAGACCCTGCAATCATCTAAACTCTGGCTCTGTCTCTCTGGCTCTCAGCAGCTGTACCTGGTGTCACCATCCTCGAGTATCTGCCAGTTCACGCTCATGCGGCCGTTGTTCTGGTTGAAGCGATTGAACCGGATCATTCCGTACAGGGTCTCGTCATTCAGCGTGCCCACCGACATGCGAACTTCTTCTCGACGCTGTGCCAAAGTCAGGCCATCCAGAGCTTGTCCGTACTTTTGCAGGCCGAAGGTGATGGAGATGCCAGCGGCCATACAAGCCGCCGCATCCTGAGCTGAGCTCTGTCGCAAAACTGTACGGCTTCAGAAGCAGCTGCAGCTGAGGCAGGCGCGTAGCCCGGATTCTTCCCAAATTGCTGGATGAAGACGGATTTCATCTGCGCGCTGCTGCCGAAGATGGGGTCGGAAAAGCCCATTTCGTGGTGCCACTGACCTCCCCCGATATTGTACAAGGCCTGATCCTGGCCCAGAGCCACGGAGCCATTGGCCCAGTAGGTCCTCACTTCGTTCACCGTGTTTCTATGCTTCTGTCATGTGAGGCGAAGGCAGCTGTGTTTCAACCAAGCAGCTCATAACCGTTCCAAGCAGTGCCTGGATAGTTCGGCCCTCCGAAGTACATCCGGTAGCCGAACTTCTGATTCATCATGGCCATCAAACCACTTCGCGCTGCGGCCAGCCAGTTGACCACCTAGGGCTGCGAGAACTCCTGGGGCTCTGAGGGCCGCACCCAAGCTGCTGTCCAAGTGACCATATCAGGATCACCTCCTTGAGAGCGAACATCCTGAATCGAAGACTATGACTATGAATCTATGAACATGGTCACATGGTCATGAGACTCGCTGAGCACAGTCTTGCAAAGCTGGTCCTGAATGATCCCCTCCACGAACTCGACCAAAGCTGGAGAAATTCCAGGCCCCCGCGTGTCAAAACCTGGCTCTACAACCAGGGCCTCGGACACCTCATAGAAGCTTGGCATGTCTGCAACGTTGTACTTGTAGCCCATGTTGTCGAACTCCGTCTGTGTGCCACATCGGCAATTGCCGTTCTGGATGCCGCAGGTTGTTGTCTTGTTGGCCCACCTCTGGCACCAGGCCAATGTGGGCCCAATTACCTGCATGGAGCTTTCAAGGCTCCACTCCATTGCAGCGACGGCAGAGATGCGGGGAAAGCCCCAGTCGTAGTTGCGGATGACGACAACGGTTTTCAGCTCCAAGAGCGCAGCCTGCACAGGTCACGCCACCGAAAGTGCAGGAGACTTGGCGAGAATCTGCCTGGCGGATCGGGCCCCTGGAGTACCAAGGAAATGGCAAGTGCAGACCTCGGCGTCGCGAAGAAGCAGTACAGTAGCTATATGCCGTTCCGAGTTCAGATAAGGCCAGGACCGAAAGCGTGAGGTGTCGCTGCCGTCCAGGACATGGGGTTCCCACCTTCAGGACCAAGCGGAGCGAATCATCTGTTTGACTTCCACGAACATGTACTCACAGGTACCCTTAAAGGTAGGTGGAGGGGGGGGTAGGGGGCCGCAATGCCCAGAATGAGGACTTAAACGGCCAACATAAGGAAGTATAGTCCCCCCCCTCCCCCTTACCCCCCTTAAAAGACCTACAAGTTACCAGCCCGAGGGTTCCGGCCTGAGCAGTGCAGGTTGGGGATGCCGTAGGCCTCTGCGGCGGTTTTGACGTCGTCATTAGAACTCGAGGTTCCCACGACGATTGCATCCACACCCTGTGCTTCAGCCTGGTTTACACACGCGGTGACCTTGGTCAAGGCATCTACCGAAAGGTCCTCCTCGCAGAGCGATACGTCCAATGTATACTTCTCAGTTCCTCCTGCTATGGTAAAGCCCTGGATGTTCACATAGGGAACGAAGAAGTCGTAGAAACCTTCCTTCCAACCTGCGTTTGCCTGGAAAGAGTTGTGAAGCATCATCACTTTAACGGTGGCAGACTCCACCATACCAATGACGACTGGAAAGAGCAGCCATATTTTGTGGGCTCCGCATCTCACCATGGCACGATATCTGAGCCTATCTACACGCTCTGATACGAGACCCGCGTGCCGAGCCAAATCTTGCGACATGCCGCGAAACCTGGTCAAGGGCCTCCTGCTCGCTGACAGCAGGAGTTTCGGAAATGCGAAAGGCATCCAGCGCCCAACATTTTTGCGTGAGCACTCAAATGTGCTCCCGTCGCACACGCCGTGTCAGTGCTCGAATCGATCGAGGTATCGCGGGCGGAACCTTGAAGGGCGGGCCCAACCGCCGTGCAAGCTCTCCGAGAAGCTCCCATAGTCTCCGAGACCGATGCCAACGCCAGGTGATGGACAAACGCCGCTTCGAAACCGCCGGAACCTCCGACAGGCCAAGTTCAAGGCCGTGTGAGGGCTTTCGCATGCCTGGCTGCCTGGTGGCCCCAGTCATAGCGAGCAGGCCCCTGGAAGCACATGGCCAGGCCCGTGCACTCCGCCACCGGACCGGCCTCTACCGCATTCACCAAAGCACAGCTCTGAGCAACGGCACAACTCGGCACGGCACTGCGTTGGCCTTTTGATCTGGTTCCTTCATGTGCTGGAGGACTAAGCCATCCCCTGCTCCTCAGAGCGACTCGGGAAAAACTCCATCACACCATCCATCCTCCCTTCTCGGGCCTCCAGGTCGCAGGACCACTGCCAGAACCGGCTCCTTTGTGCTTCGTGGGCCGTGGGCCGGTGCCGAACAGGCGTCGAGGCTGGGCTGGCCTCGAACATCTCCTTGCTGTCGACGTGCAGCTTTAAGCCCTGTCGGCCGGAAAAAAGCGGGTACTCCACGCTTTGCAGCGAGCGGTCTGCCCGGCTCGGCCTGCCCGGGCCGGTACTGCCGGACCATAACTTGGACTAAGGCCCTGTCGGCCTGAAGCAAGATGTCTTCGTCCCTCTTCGGCTGATCGCACTTTCAGGCTGCCTTCAGGCCAAAGCTCACCTCCGCTGCTCGCATGAGACGGTCACAGGCGGGGTAGAAGTCGGGGCCAGGAAGCCTCCTCGGTCAGCCAGCAGCAAACTCTTCGCAAGGCAGCTTGCCACGTTCTTCCAAGCATGCCAGTGTCCTCAGTCGACCCCGACCACCGTGCAAGGTAGTGAAGGAGAACTGCATTTCCAGCTTCCGCTGGTTCTGAACCAGGCACGCATCAAGCTCAGACCTGTTGCGACTGCAAGCCAACAAGTCCATGCACCAACGCATCACCCACGTGTCCAATCTTTGCCTCGCATGTTCTGCAAGGCTTGCCGGAAGCTTCAGAAAGCGGAAGCCAGCGGGCCAAGTCAGAACCAGCGTACCTGCATCATGTCACCACTGCATGGAGCGGAAAATTCGCATGGGTCTGCGCCTGTGCCTTGAAGACAGAAGACACCGGCAAGTGCGGCCACCGCAAACCGTGCGGGCCGCATGAGAGGCAGGCCGGCATTGAGTTGTCATGACCGCTGCAGGCCGGATACCCACTGCCGGGCTGGCCGTCTGCACTGCTGCAACTTCTCCATAATATGCACTCTACACCCCCTGCAGGTATATGCAGATGTTCCGCAGAAGGCTATTCCAACCACAGAAGCCCAAACAGCAGTGTAAAGCATTGCAGTCTCCGCCGAATCGAGCTGCCTGAGACCCACAAGCTTGAATCTGCAAAACAAGGCAACCAATGTTGCTCCAACCTTTTAATTGTGCTTGAGCGAACTACTTCCGCACGAAAGGCTAAGATCAAATACTGCTTACAGCACTTGGCATCCTCTGTCAGAACTCATCCCCTACCCTGCAACTGAATTTTGCACACATCCACTGCTTCTAACTTCAACGCAAGATACAGCGAGCAAGTACTGCCAGTGCTTCCACCCTTAGGAAAAGAACCGATGATGGCAGAATAGACTTGCTCTTTCTTGCCTACTGTCCCTCGTTTGAGGCTGCCGAATTTCTGTGGATTTTCTTTTGCGTTTGGGACTAGTTTCTTTTTTTTGGGTGGAGGGTGGTCAAGCACCTGTGCAATGACCCGCCGGCCATGCTCCTGGAATGCCAGACTCGGGGGGACAGCATTTTGCCATGCTCCTGGAACCGCCAGTATACTCGGCGGGACAGAATCTTGGCCATGCTCCGGGATCCGCCAGTACTTGGGGAAAACTGAAAACCGCATCAGTACTTGCGGGATGCGTCAAGAGTGCCGAGACTACTGGTTGCTGCGGGCACGGTCCGGGATCCGCCAGTAATTGGCAGTACTTGTTTGGCCTTTGGCCGCGGTCCCGAATCTTCCTGAATCCTATCAGTTGGGGGTTGCGGAGCAGGAAGCGACCGGAACAGCGAAAGAGCTCAGAAGTCGAGAAGCGGAGAGAATCAGAACCGCAGCGAAGCTGACGAGCTGAACAAGCGGAGAAGCGCTGCGCACAGAAAAGGGCCGGAGCAGAAGAGCTATAGTGGTCCCAGGCACGGAAGCGGAGAAGCGGAAAAACAAAAGCGCGGAAGCAGCGCAAGTAGTGCACAAAGTCTGGGTTCTTATCCGGACCTCGTCGCCAAGTCGAACGATCTGGAGGCCGGGGCCGCATGCTGCGATCTGTCGCTGCGCGGGCGACAAGGCAGCAACCACTCTTGGTGGTCACGTGGCTGGCTGGTCCACCCGTCGGGCGGCATGTTGTACATATTGCTGGATGCGGCGTCAAGGCTCGCGTCGCGAAAGCGGGGGCAAGTCCATGTAACCGGAGTCGGCACGGGCAGTGACACGCAACAAGTGGCCGTACTCCCAGTCAGGCCGCTGCCGGCGGGGACCAGCATGATGAAGGACTGCGAGCCGCGCGAGGGCAGCGAGAAGCCGATGGTCATCGCCGGGAGGCAAAACCAAGTGCGGCGAACCGTAAACAGGCACCGGCGTGATGTTTGATGCATGCGACGGCCACGCCCTAGTGCGAGGCTTGAGGCCTCGCGCACGCAGGCAAATGAAGCAGCGAACACCGGGTGTGCAGCGACCGAGTCTCCCAAACCCGAAGCACGGCGCAGGGACGAGGAACGTGGCGACGGCAGGAACGTAGGGAGCGGCCCAAGTCAGGCGCGGCACAACGAAAGTCAGCAGAAAAATGCTCGCGAGTGATCGCGGTGCCAGGAGCAGCGGCAATCGTGTTGGCAAGACGATCATCGTCAGGGATGCTAGGGCGCCTCATGGTGACCACGAACGAGCGTGGTGCAAAACACATTCATCAACGTGGATGTATGTTGTGGATATTATATCCTCCTAGAAAGATACGTGCGTACATACATGCATACATACACCCATACACAATCATACAAACACACACCAGAAACTTGCACGGGATCTGCACATTTATGTATACATATATATATATATATATATATATATATGTCATATGTATGTACATACCTTTTCACATATGATACTATATATACATATATATATATATATATATATATATATGTATGTATGTATGTATATATATATATATATATATGTATATATATATATATATATATATATATATATATATGTATATATATATATATATATATAACTGTATATTTATATATATATATATGTATATGTATATGTATGTATATATATATGCATATATATATAGCATACATATATATATATATATATTTAAGTATATGTATATGTGTATGTGTATATGTATATGTATATGTATATGTATATGTATATGTATATGTATATGTATATGTATGTATGTTTGCAACATTTCTGTGTATATATATACATATATGCATTGAAAGTACTTTTCTATCTACCAGTCTACCATATCAATATCGATATGTGCGTGACTTGAATCTTCAATAATCTTCATAACAAACGAACAGATCATGATTTAGCGAGCGTCTCCTGTCGCAGACGCCCTGTCCGAGCAGGCTTCACAACTTTTGCCGCATGTCTGAACGGAGATCTATCTGTGTCTGTCTCAGGACAGAGCCAAACAGCTAAGAGCCCTGCAGTTTGAAAATGCAGGGAAAGTGAATGCACAACTATTTACATGGCCGCACCTCACCTAATGTGAGAGAGCGACCGCTGGCCCAAAGTCTGAGATGCACCTGAGAGGCTCCGTGACATCACGGGTGCCCAAAGACTTCGAGTACGATGCGTTGGGCTGTCGCCATTGTCGGCCTCGGAGACTCGGAGTGCAGTGTCAGCAAATGGCTCGTAGCTGGGACGCTGGCAGCATTGAGGCCCTGCGAGACCACAGTCCTCGGCTCAGTCAGTCGACAGCTCTCAGCTGATAGCTGGGTCTCTTCCCTTTCCGAAGTCACCGTTTGCCGAGTCTCGACAAACGTCGATTTCGACGTAGCACTCCTGTCATGGCAGGAGCTCAGGAAAAAAACAGGAGCTTGGCGCCATGGAACTTGGGGTCACGTCAGTCATGTCTCATGTCGCGTCCAGAGTCGTGCCTGCATTTGGGGACGATGGCACCGGAATCTGGAGATCTGCTGAGGGCGCCTCGACTCGACGACTGCCCGACTGCCCGACGCGCCCGAGTGTGCCCGACGGAGTTGCCCAGAGTTGCCCAGAGCCCCAGGCCGGGCGCTCGAGCAGGTAACTTGCGGCCAGCCTTTTTCGGAGTCGGGAGACTGGGGCTCTTGGCTTCAAAGCTCACAAGCCGGGAGCACCCTTCCAGATCTCTGTTGCGCTGTGCCAATTCCTGGTTCCTGCCAGGCCAGGGAGCTCAAAACTTCATAGACTTCAGACACAAGTTGAGCTGTTTCTTGCGCCGCAATCGCCTGATCCTCAACTCCGCGAGCTCGGCTCGCAGCGAGGCGGACTCGCCCATGTCCTCCTGGCTCCGACGTTGCGAGACCGGAGCCCCCTCCATCTCCTTCTTCGGAGACGCTGAGCTTCCTCCAAATTGATGGCGCGGAAGGCCCGTTGCTGCGCATCCTGTGGAGGGGCTCAAATCAAGGCCACACCGACCTTAGGCTTCACCCTTGCCGTCATGGCCTTCAGATCACGCCGCGTGATGGACATCTCCGCGTGCATGCGCTGCTCGGACCGTCTGCGCCCAAGCTGTTGCTGGTCCTGCGAACGTAAAAGGCTGCTGACGGCTGCTGTCCGTTGCGAAAAAACTCTGCATCCTTGTCTGAGCTGGCTTGCCGATTCAGGAAGGGCTCCAGCAGGTTG